CATAGTCATAAGTCTCTCAGTATTCTAACGAGTGAACGTGACTTACTGGTGCAGATGCAATGGGCTGAAGGGCATTTTTCTGTGTTGTAAATCTCCATGACTAAAAGTTCTCAGTGGTGGGGTGGGGGAATAAGAGAATGGTGGGGGGAGACCCAGAGAGATAGAGAGAAAAGAGATCAGTTCGAGGTTGGTGCAGTTGAGAAAAGGAGCAACTCAAACAGTCAAGGCAGGCAGGAGCAAGGTCGGGAATGATGTAAGACTGAAAAATTAAACTTCAATCATTTCAATGCAAAGGCCTGAGATAAGGCAGATGAACTCAGGGCATGGTTAAGAACATGGGACTGGGATATCATAGCTATTATGGAAATGTGGCTCAGGAACGGACAGGACTGGCAGCTTAATGTTCCAGGGAATAGATGCTACAGGAAGGGGGACAGGGGATGGGGTGAGACAGGATGGAGGCTGGCATTTTTGATTAGGAATGCATTTATTTAGGATATCTGGTCGGCACGGGTGAGTTGTACTGAAGGGTCTGTTTCCATGCTGTATATCTTTATGACCCTATGAATCTACAAATAACATTACAGCTGTACTTAGGGAGGATATTGCGGAGAGTACGTCCAGTGAAGTTATTTGGGTGGAACTGAGAAATGAGAGGGATGATCATCTTACTGGAACCCCCCCATAACCCCCCATATTCAGCAGGAACTTAGAAGCAAATTTGTAACGAGATCTCAGTTACCTGCAAGAATAATAGGATTGTAACGGTTTTGGAATTTTAACTTTCCAAACATAGAGTGGGATTGCAATAGTGTTAAGGGCTTGGATGGAACGGAATTTGTTAAGTGTGTACAAGAAAATTTTCTTACCTAGTATGTATCAACTACAGAAGGAGCAAAACATGACGTTCTCTCGGAAAATAAGTCAAGGCAAGTGACTGAGGGGTCAGTGGGGGAGTAGTTTGGGGCCAGTGATCATAATTCTATTAGTTTTAAAATAGTTATGGAAAAGGATGGATAGGATCTAAAAGTTGAAGTTCTAAATTGGAGACAGGCCAATTTTGATGGCATTAAGCAGGAACTTTCAAAAGTTGATTGGGAGTGGATATTTGCATGTAAAGGAATGGCTGGAAAATGGGAAGCCCTCAAAATTGAGATAATGAGAGTCCAATGACAGTATGTTTCTGTTAGTATGAAGGCAAGTCTGGTAGGTGGATGACTAGAGAAATTGAAGCTCTAGTCAAGACAAAGAAAGAAGCAGGTAAACACAGCAGGAATCGAGGGAATCCCTGGAAGGGTTTAGGGGCAATAGGGGTATACTCTAGAGGGAAATCAGCACGGCAAAAAGGGGACAGGAGGTAGCTTTGGCAAGTACGGTGAAGGAGAATCCGAAGAGATTCTACAAATACATTAAGGACAAAAGAGTAATTAGGGAGAGAATAGGGCCCAATAAAGATCAGCAAGGCCACCTATGTGTGGAACCGCAGGAGATCAGGGAAGATACTAAACGAGTTATTCGCATCAGTGTTTACCGTGGAGAACAATAGGGAAGCTAGAGAACTTAGGGGAAATAAACAGTGATATCCTGAAAAGCATCCATATGACAGAGGTGGTGGCGCTGGGACTCTTAAAATGCATAAGGTAGGTAAATCCCCAGGACTTCATCAGGTGCATCCTAGAACTTTGTGGGAAGCTAGAGAAGTGATTGCTGGGCCATTTGCTGAGATATCTGTATCATTGATAGCCACAGGTGAGGTGCCAGAAGACTGGAGGTTGGCTAACGTGATGCCATTATTTAAGGAAGGTGGTAAGGCTAAGCCAGAGAACTATAGACTGGCGAGTCTGATAACAGTGGTGGTTAAGTTGTTGGAGGGGATTCCGAGGGACAGGATTTACATGTATTTGGAAAGGCAAGGACTGATTAGGGATAGTCAACATGGCTTTGCGCGTGGGAAATTGAGTCTCACTAACTTGTTTGAATTTTTTGAAGAAGTGACAAAGAAGATTGATAAAGACAGAGTGGTGGACATTGTCTATATGGACTTCAGTAAGGTGTTCGACAAGGTTTTCCATGGTAGACTGGTTAACAAGGTTAGAACACATGCAATACAGGGAGAACTAGCCATTTGGATACAAAATTGGCTTGAAGGTAGGAGGTGGTGGTGGAGGGTTGCTTTTCGGTCTGGAGGCCAGCGACCAGAGGTGTGCCGCAGGATCAGAACATAGAACATTACAACGCAGTACCAATTGGAAGCCCATCTAACCTAAACTATTCCATTATCATCCATATGTTTATCCAATGACCATTTAAATGACCTTAAAGTTGGCGAGTCTACTACTTTTGCAGGCAGGGCATTCCACGCCCTTACTACTCTCTGAGTAAAGAACCTACCTCTGACATCTGTCCTATATCTATCACCCCTCAATTTAAAGCTATGTCCCCTTGTGCTAGCCACCACCATCCGAGGAAAAAGGCTCCCACTGTCCACCCTATCTAATCCTCTGATCATCTTGTATGTCTCTATTAAGTCACCTCTTAACCTTCTTCTCTCTAACGAAAACAGCCTCAAGTCCCTCAGCCTTTCCTCATAAGACCTTCCCTCCATACCAGGCAACATCCTGGTAAATCTCCTCTGCACCCTTTCCAATGCTTCCACATCCTTCCTATAATGCGGTGAACACAACTGTACGCAATACTCCAAGTGCGGCCGCACCAGAGTTTTGTACAGCTGCAACATGACCTCATGGCTCCGAAACTCAATCCCTCTACCAATAAAACCTAACACACCGTACGCCTTCTTAACAACCCTATCAACCTGGGTGGCAACTTTCAGTACGCTGGGTCCACTGCTTTTTGTTAGTTATATAAATGCTTTGGATGTGAATATAAGAGGAATGGTGAATAAGTTTGCAGATGACACCAAAATTGGTGGTGTAGTGGACAGCAAAACAGGTTACCTCAGAGTACAACGGGACCTTGATCAGGTAGGCAAATGTGAGGTGTTGCATTTTGGTAAGGCAAATCAGGGCAGGACTTATACCCTTAATGGTAAGGTCCTGGGGAGTGTTACTGAACAAACAGACCTTGGAGTGCAGGTTCATAGTCCCTACAGAGTCGCATGTAGACAGGATGGTGAAGGTGGTGTTTGGTATGCTTGCCTTTATTGGTCAATGCATTGAGTATAGGAGTTGGGAAGTCATGGTGGCTGTACAGGACATTGGTTAGGCCATTTTTGGAATACTGTGTTCAATTCTGGACCCCTGCTATGGGGAAGATGTTATAAAACTTGAAAGGGTTCAGAAAAAATTTACAAGGATGTTGCCAGGATTGGAGGGTTTGACCAATGGAAAGACGCTAAATAGGCTGAGACAACAAGGTGCAGGGCTGGATGAACACAGCAGGCCCAGCAGCATCATAGGAGCAGAGAGGCTGACGTTTCCGGCCCGGAACCTTCATCAGAATAGGCTGAGACTGTTTTCCCTGGAGCGTCAGAGGCCGAGGGGTGACCTTATAGAAGTTTATAAGGTCATGAAGGGCATGGATAGGGTGAATAGCCAAGGTCGTTTCCCCAGGATGGCAGAGTCCAAAACTAGAGGGTATAGGTTTAAGGTGAGAGGGGAAAGATTTAAAAGGGACCTAACGGCAACTTTTTCATGCAGAGGGTGGTGTGTGCATGGAATCAGCTGCCAGAGGAGATGGTGGAGGCTGGAACAATTATAACATTTAAAATGCATCTGGATGGGTACATGAATAGGAAGGCCCAAGAGTGACATGGGCCAAATGCTGGCAAATGGGACTAGATTAATGGAGAATATCTGGTTGGCACGGACAAGTTGGACTGGAGGGTCTATTGCCGTGCTGTATATCTCTATGACTCTAAATCGTGCTGCAGTTGAATTGTGCACAAGTAATTAAAATATTTCCTTTGACATTAAAGGCTGAGACAGATAGATTTTTAATCAGTCTGGGAATCAAATGTTATGAGTAAAAGCACGAAAGCGGAGTTGAGGGTTATTAGGTTAGCCATGGTCTCAATACATGGCGGCGCAAAATTAATGGCACAAATGGCCAGCTGCAACTCTTACATCTTATGGTCATTCAGTTCAAAGTATTTCAAACTGCTAAATTGTTACAAGTGTGGGGTCTATTGACCATCCTGGACCTTAGTAGGCAGCGGATTCTCCTTAACCGATATGATTTAAAAGATTAAAGAAGCAAAACTTTGGGCAGAATTAGAATGGACATCTTAGAGTCAAGTCAGGAATAAAAATAAAGAGCAGGAAATAAAATGTTGGGGATGGAGAAAGAAATAGCAGAGTGGAACAGCAAGAAATAAAACAAATTTAAAAACATCTTTATGAATAATTTACATATGCAGGAATGACTCTCCAGTTTAAATTCTTCTCTTTCTCAGTTGAGGAAATCGATTGTATTAATTATCACATGGCTTAAAAGTGTGTTTTCCCTGATCAGCACTTCTGAGATTGTAATATGGAAATCAAGCAAATATAAAAATGTCAGGCAGGTTAACAGCATGTTGCACGTCTACCAACTTGATGTGGTAAGTTGTGATACATCGCTTCTTTGCCCAAATCCACTGTCGAATCTGCAGATCAATAAGCTTGCTAACTCATTTAATATTTTTGTGGGAAGATTAGACTCATTTAACATATTCTGCAAATTAACAAACCTCTGATTCTAACTTCAACACATTCAAATGAATCAAAAGTACCCAAAAATGCTGCGTCACTCCTGTTACAAAGTGAAAGGAATCACATATTCTTGTGAAGAAAGAAAAAAAATTGACATTTTGCAGCAGGTTTTCATCTTGCACTCATCAGGACAATTCACAAGAAATACAAATTTAAACGATAACAATGTTGGCTTCCCTTAACATTGGTACTTCTTGCGATTTGTCCTGACTACCGTAAAAGTGAAAAAGTTTCGATAAAATGTGTCATTTTTCAGCCATTCTTAAGTGTAGTACCAAACGCACTTACTTTGCCACATCCAGGTGGGCCCCACAATATGATGGACGGGATCTCGTGCGATTCCAACAGCGTTCTCAACAGAGTATTTTCACCCAAAACCTTGTTCTGCCCAATAAGTTCGGCCAGGATACTGGGCCTCATGATCTCCGCCAGGGGCTTCGCCTCCAACTGCCGCAGCGACACCGTCTTCCCCTGGACACCGGAGGAGGCCGCGGTGGGCCGCTGCAAGGACGGAGACAGCGGGGCGGCGGTTGATGGGCTCTGCCAGGGTAACGTTCCACGGCCGCGCGCTGGACTCGGCGAGGCGCTGCAGCTCCTATCGCCATCGTCAACAGAGGCGCTGGCTGCAGTCCCGCGCCCGCTCTGCGCGAGCGACGTTCCATCGCCGCACGCAGCTCCTGGGGACAGGCGCGCTCTCTTGCTGCCCGGCTCCCCGTCACCGCCATCACCTTCCCTCACACCCAGACAGTGGTCCAGGTGAGCATTGATCCTGAAACTCTGCATCTGCTGTGAGCAGACAGGGCATTGCACTACCGACTCTCGACCCCCCTGCATCAGCGCCATTTCTTCACCCTTAACATTGGTCCGAACGCGTACTTCCTCCCCATTCCTCCACCCCTTTTGCTTTGTTTTGTTTTCACCTTGCAGCTCCTATGTCCATAATTTATCGATAGAATTGTATCATCCCTCCCCTCCCCTCCCCTCCCCTCCCCTCCACACGCCCCCTGACTTGCTCCGAAAATTAACTTTCGGCATAAATCCCTAAAACTGGTTCTGCAGCAAAGCCATGAGGAACTCAAAGCGTTAACCCCATTTCCCGCCACAGATGCAGCTGGAGCTGCGAAGTTTCTCCAGCATTTTCTGTGTTTGTTTTTCAGATTTCAAGCATCCACAGTATTTTGTCTTAGTACCTAAAGATGAGTTGATCTGACTTCATTACATTCTCCCATTGTGACCAAGACATTTGAGATGTATGTCGCATTGGTTATTCACAACCGGTTGTCGATATTTTCTCATCAACCTATTCGGACACGTTATAACACACCTTTGGAAAAGGTGGGACTTGAACTCAGATCTCCCGGATCAGAGGGAGGGACATAATTGTGCATGTAGAAAGAACACTGAATACTGGGGGAAGTTTTTCAGATAGATTGTCAGTCAATAAGTACATGGCAAATTCCTTGATAAAACTGAGATATTGTCAAATCAGAAATGGGCTTTGTGCTTCTAATTCCATAAGAAATTGAAAAGGGAGTATGCCATTCAATTGCTCGAGTTTACTGTACCATTCAATAGGATCATGTCTACTTTCCTGCATTTTCCCTGAAACCCTTGATTCCCCTACTGAGCAAGAATCTTATCCATCATGGCCATAAATATGCACAAGGGTGTAGTAGACAAGGAAGATGGTTATTTCACAGTACAACAGGATCTTGATGAGATGGGCCAATGGGCCCAGGAGTGGCAGATCGTGTTTAATTCAGATAAATGTGAGGTCCTGAATTTGGAAAAGCAAATCAAGGCAGAACTTATACATTTAATGGTAAGGTCCTGGACAGTGTTGCTGAACAAAGAGATCTTGGAGTGCAGGTTCATAGTTCCTTGAAAGCGGAGTCGCAAGTAGATGGGATAGTGAAGAAGGCAGTTGGTATGCTTGCCTTTATTGGTCAGAGTATTGAGTATAGAAGTTGGGAGGCCATGTTGCGGCTGTACAGGACATTGGTTTGGCCACTTTTGGAGTATTGCATGCAATTCTGGTCTTCCTGCTATAAGAAGGGTGTTGTGAAACTAGAAAGGGTTCAGAAAACACTAATGAAGATGTTACCAGCGTTGCAGGGTTTGACCTACAGGGAGAGGCTAAATAGCTGGGGCTACTTTCCATGGAGCATTGGAGGCTGAGGAGTGACCTTATAGAAGTTTATAAAATCATGAGGGGCATGGATAGGGTAAATAGGCAAGGTCTTTTCCCCAGGGTGGGGGAATCCAAAACTAGAGGGCATAGGTTTAAGTTGAGAGGGGAAAGATATAGAAGGGAACTAAAGGACAACTTTTTCATGCAGAGGGTGGTGCGTGTATGGAATGAGCTGCCAATGGAAGTGGTGGAGATGGTATGATTACAATATTTAAAGGCATTTACATGGGTATATGAATAGGAAGGGTTTAGAGGGATATGGGCCAAATGCTGGCAAATGGGACTAGATTTATCTATGATATCTGATTGGCATGGACAATTTGAATCAAAGGGTCTCTTTCCATGCTGTATATCACTATGACTCTAGTCTCCATGGCTGTCTGTGGAACGGAGTTCCAAAGATGGTCAACCTTCTGAGAGAAGAAATTCCTCCTCATCTCCGTCTTAAATTTATGCCTCTTTATTCTGAGACTGTACCCTCTGGTTCTAGACTCTCCCATTGGGGAAACATCCTCTCAACATTCACCTGGTCAAACCATTGAGAATCCCATATATTTCAATAAGATCATCTCTCATTCTTCTAAACTCCTTTGAGTAGAACGTCAACCCATTTAGTCTTTGCTCATAAGACAATGCCTCCATACCAGGATTGTCCTACTGACTTCTGAACTGCTTCCAATGACATGATATCTTTTCTTAGATAAGGGGACCAAAAGTGTTCACAGTACTCCAGATGTGGTCCCACCATTGCTTTGTTTGTCAATAACATTGATATTTCTGTGATCTCTTAATCATCACATGGTCTATTGGATAGCCAGCTTCCTGCAAGATAGGAAACAGAGAATAAGGGTAAAGGATAACTATTCAAGTGATAGAAGTTGTGAAATGAGGTCCCATGAGGATCAATATTAGGCCAATTGTTGTTTACAATTTACATTAATGACTTACACATTGGAACAAAAAACACAATTTCTAAAATTGCAGATGACACCAAATTAATCAATACTGAGGAGGATGGCAACAAATTACAAAGACACTAATAGTTTTGCAGAATAGTTGGAAAATGAATTCCACAGAGGTAAGTTTGGATCGCATTTTGTTAAAACACATAAGGAAATTACATGTTGCTTGAAAAATTGAGAATTTAAATGTGGTGGAGGAACAAATCGATTTCCTGTTGTGAAGGCTATTAAAATGTAAACTAAGCATTAGTATTTATGAGGATAAAATTGTAAGATAGAAAAGTTATTGCTAAACTAGTATCAAACCTTGGTTAGTTCACACCTGGAGTGATGTGTACAGCTCTGGCTGATCTATTGCAAAAATATACAGGGGTACTGGAGACGTTATAAAACAAAAGCAAATGATAAGGATGCTACTAGAACTTCAAGGTTAGATTTATCAGGAAAGGTCAAAGAAGGTGATTTGCTTTTCTCCTGAAAGGACAAGGCAGAAGGGAGGCAGTAAGATTTAGTAAGGTTGTTTAGTGTAGGTAAAGAGAGAATATTTCCACTTGTGAGGAACATCAAAACTAGAGGCGGTCAACTCACCTCCTGACTCCCCAAAGCCTGTCCACCATCTACAAGGCACAAGTCAAGTGTGTGATGGAATTACCCCCACGTGCCTGGATGAGTGCAGCCCCAACAACACTCAAGAACCTTTTCATCGTCTAGGACAAGGCAGCCGACTTGATTGGCACTGAATCTACAAGCATCCACTCCTTCCACCACTGATGCTCAGTTGCAACAATGTGTACTATCTACAAGATGCACTGCAGAAATTCACCAAAAATCCTCAGACAGCACCTTCCAAACCCACAACCACTTCCATCTAGAAGGACAATGCAGCAGGTATATGGAAACACCGCCACCTTCAATTTCCAAGCCACTCACTATCCTGACTTGGAAATATATTGCCATTCCTTGATTCTCATTGGGTCAAAATCCTGGAATTCCCTCCCTAATGACATTGTGGGTCAATCCACAGCAGATGGACTGCAGGGGTTCAAGAAGGCAGCTCACCATTATCTTCTCAAGGGCAACTAGGAACAGGCAATAAATGCTGGCTAGCCAATGATGCCCACATCCCACAAAATGAATAAAAAAAAACATAAAGTCATTAATAAATCAAGTAGGGAACTCTGAAGAAATTCTTTGTCCCAGAGGGTGGGTGAAAATGTGGAACTTGCTACTGCAGAGATAAGGCAAGGGGAAAAGCAATGATTCATTGAGGGTAATATAGCAAAAGTACATGAAGGAGAATGGAATAAGTTCTTGTGACCTCCATCATTACTGTAACTTGCTTTCACTTTAGTTTGTGGCAACTATGAAATGTATTACTTCAAACATGATGTCAGAAGTGAGAAGCCAAGATTAACTGAATTTTCAGAGGTTTAAGAGAACCAGATATTGAAAAAAATAATTCAAATCACTTTTGCAATTTTGAAGTTATGGGTATATCAGAACGGTTGTAAATTTTCCATTTCCTGCTGTTATGGAAATGAAAGCATGTGGCGTAAAATTGGAATTTGTTCCACAAACAGTGGTAAAATTATGAAATAGCTGCAAAATTAAATCAATTAACTGAGTAACTAACAATAGCAACCTTTTTATTGGTGCTAGAGAAAGATTGCTCCAAGCTGTATTGCAGCCAAGATCTCATTGAGGAGGAGTAGTTTTTAAAGACTTACTTTGAGCCCTCAATTAATGTTATTTGTGAATGGTTTGTATTCAACATCTGATCTCAATTGGAGATGGAGAATACTTGATCAGAACGTGATGGCACTAACACATCTAGACAAATCATGAGAGATTGGACAACTGAAGGATGATCTCATCAGATATAGAATTGCCTTAAACATAAAGGATCAGCTGAGAGAAAATTGCTTTCAATAAAGCTATCAAAATATGCAGTATATGAGGTTGTCAATCATCAGCTAGAATTAACTAATGGGAGAACGCATGAGGCTTTGCATTATGCTGAGGGACTGTCCAGGCTGAGCAACGACGACATATTGATAAAGACAAGAAATATTTGCAGAATGGCCTGCAAAAAAGATCAAGGCCAGCATGCAAGGTGTAAATATTGTGGAAGCTACTACATGAAGGAAAGGAAAGCATGTTCAACATGTGTAAAACAGTGGTCTAACTACAAGAAGCTGAATCTCTTTGCACACAAGCAGAAAAGTGTTATGGCCCAGACCAGACTCCCTCAAAATATATTAAGAAGATAGCTTAGACCCTAACTTTTTCCTATTTTAAAAGTAAGTGTAAGGTGGTGTGTTTCAGGTACAATTTGATTGGTTGAACTGCTGGACGTGTACAAATTTATTCGTACACAATTGTTAAAATACAACAAAAGAAAGAATAAAGAAAAGAATTGGCTTAGCTGTAACTCTATTAGAATGTTTAACAAGATAATGGATACAGTAACGATTGCTAATTAATTGTTCCAATATAGCAACATCCGATAAACAAACCCCTGGAAAAAGGCAAATTCAGAACACAGATTATCTCACATGCAACTCTCGCCACCCAGGAGCAAAGCACCCAGAGAAAACTCAGAGAGAAAGAGTGGAGCAGCTGGGAGAGATTCACTGCCTTCCAACCCTGCTGAGACCCCAGCAACAACTGCTGCTGAGAAAACTGAAAATTCTGGTTCTGTGAGAGATTGACTCCACCTATTCAGGATGCTTCTATTGTTCCAACTTTTAAAAACAAACACACA